TCTTCCTCCTCCTCCTCCTCCTTCTTCTCTCCTCTCTCCCTCCCACTCTCCTCCTTCCCTCCTTCCCTCCTTCCCTTGATGCGCCTGCCTCCCCCTCCATGTTGGCGTCCCTGGGGCCGATGGAGGCTGCCAACCGGGGGGGCCCTCCTTCCTCGGGGGGCTTCGTCCTGAGCAGCGCCCCGCTGGCCGCCCTCCACAGCATGGCCGAGATGAAGGGCTCGCTGGCCTTCCCCTCCTACGCCTTGGCCCACAGCCCCCCGGACGCCTTCAAGGGGGCTCCCGCGCCCGCGGCAGGAACAGGAGCCGCCGCCGGAGGAGGCCCGGGAGCCCCGCTGCCCCTGGGGACCCCGCACGGCATCTCCGACATCCTCGGGCGCCCGGTCACGGTGGCGGCGGCGGCGGCGGCAGCGGCGGCGGCGGCGGCGGCCTCGGGCTCCGGCCTCTTCCCGGGGCTCCCCAGGGGCCTGGCCGGCATGTACTTCAACCCGGCGGCGGCGGCGGCGGCAGCGGCAGCGGCGGCGGCGGCGGCGGCCTCCCGGTACCCGAAGCCCCTGGCCGAGCTCCCCGGGAGGGCGCCCATCTTCTGGCCGGGAGTCATGCAGGGGCCCCCCTGGAGGGACCCACGCCTCGCCTGCCCCGGTAAGGACCCCCCCCCTCCTCCTCGCTCGGACGTTTTGCCTTCCTCCTCCGCTCTGAGGCTGAGAGAGTGTGACCTTCCCAGGTCCGCCCTGCGGGGAGCGGGGAATCTTGGCGAGGTTTCTTCAGTCTGCCACCTTGCCTTCCCCCTGAGGCTGAGAGAGTGTGACCTTCCCAGGTCCACCCTGCGGAGGTCCCGATCAGCCCCCTCTCTCCTGGGGTTTCCTTGCCGAGGTTTCTTCGCTCTGCCGTTTTGCCTTCCCCCTGAGGCTGAGAGAGTGTGACCTTCCCAGGTCCATCCAATCTGGCCCCTGTCTCCTGGGGTTTTCTTGGCAAGGTTTCTTTAGCCCTGAGGCTGAGAGAGTGTGACCGTCCCATGTCCATCCATGGGAGACCCCAATCAGGCCCCTCTCTCCTGAGGTTTTCTTGGCAAGGTTTCTTCAGAGGGCGGAGGGGGGGGGGGAGAAATCCCATTTTATCAATAGCAATAGCAAGTACATTTCTATACCGCTTATCGGCGAAGGAATACTCTCAGCTGGGCCCTCCTTTTCCCGATCTACGAAAGGATGCGAAGGCGGAGTGGACCCTGGAGCCCTGCCTGGGGCCGGACTCACACATTTTGTCTTCCCCCTGAGGCTGAGAGAGTGTGACTGGCCCATGCTCAGCCAGTGGCGACCTCTATCCCGGGGTTTTCCGGGCAAGGATTTGCCATTCGGAGAGGGTTTGCCATTTTGCCTTCCTCTGAGGCTGAGAGAGTGTGACTTGCCCAGTGGGTTTC